GAGGAAGAGAAAGAGGGCGATAGAGAAAGAGAGTGAGAAGGGAAGAGAGAGAGAAGAGGAAAAGAAGGGGAGTACAAGTGGGATCCGAAGGGTGATTCATAACTAGGCCCAGCGCCTGATATGCGCACCGGATTGTGATCAGGGCGCACCTTCCATCATCGCGTCCCGCGTGGAGAGTGAGAGAGAGAGAGAGAGAGAGAGAGAGGGAGAGGGAGAGAGGGAGAATCAGAGAGAGAGAGAGAAAGGAGGGAGAGAGAGAGGGAGGGAGGGAAAGAAAGGGAAGTGGGTAGGGGATCGTAAAGGGAGAGAGAGAAAGGAAAGGGGAGCAAGAGAGTGAAAAGGGGGGAGGGAGAGCGCTAGGGGAGAAGTCAAATCGGTACCCGATATGATCGGGAACCGGATCGGGAACCTGACTGGTTCGGGAGCCTGATCGGATAGGGAACTTGATTGGATAGGGAACCAGATAGGATCGGGAGCTTGATCGGGAGCTAGTGCAAGGGGAGCGGGTAAAAAAAAAAAGAAAGGGGAAAGGGAGCGCAGGGAACAAAGGAGGGCGAGTGAGAGGGAGCTATCGGGAATCGGTTAGGATAGGGAGCTTGATCAGGAGTTAGTGCAAGGGGAGCAGGAAAAAAAAAAAAAAAAAAAAAAAAAAAAAGGAGGAAAGAGACCACAGGGATCAATTGTGGGTGAGGGAGAGCGAGCTACCCATTAGGCAAAATGTCGTTTACTTACGCTATGGCGGTTGAGAAGGCAATGTCGGATGGGGAAAGGGGGGACAAAGGAGGCCAGAAACCGATAGGAGAGGGGGGGGGGGGTGCAGGATAGAATCTCAGAATTCAGCCACGTCGGGCATCAGGCTCACACAATCGAAAGCCCTGGGACAAAGAGCATTGGACTTTATCATGGAAAAGACGAAAATTACAGCCCCAGTTAAAATTACAAAGGAAGTCATTAAGGGGCAGGAGGGTAAGGAAGAGGAGGTCGGCGTCTGGGAATACCCGGAGCAAGATCTGCAGACACTTCATGAACTCTACGAAAGGCACGCAGTGCTATTCAACTTCTCGGGCAAGAATCGTGAGTTGTCATTGAACGAAAAAAGGAAATGGGAAATGGAGAGACTCAGGGGCCTAGAGAACATTCCAGGGATTGAACCAGAAGTTTCATATCACAAGCGGGGAAGATTCACGGTCATGATAGTCTGCGTGGATCCGGCGTACGCTCAATACCTGCGGTCGTTGGGTTCCCTCAGGTGCCACAGGTCGGTGGTGACGATCCAAGCATGGAAACCACCTCAGCCGCCACCAGCGGAGGCTTCAAGGCACAGGCAGTCAATGATGAGGGACAACTTCTGGGTGCAGTTTGACAACCTCTCAGAAGGGATGCACAGCCTCGTGCAGCAGCGCCTGAAGGAAGAATACCCAAACAACCCCATCATAGAGTGGCTCCCGACAAATCCCGACTTTCTGGCTCCAAACCACAATTCCAGGGTAGCGTGCCTGGAAGTGAAATCCGGGGCACCGCCGAAATTCCCCGAGGTATGGATCTTCAGAAGAAGGACGGAGCGCATCACAGTGTTCATATCCTCTAAATCCAATCCATTCTGCTTCAAATGCAGAGCAAGGGGACACTTGGGAATGCATTGTCCGCAATCAAGTACTGGTTCGAACGCAGGTTCGGGGGGAGGCAACCACAACTAAAACAATCAATGTTAGTCGAGGCAGACAACAAGCCAGGGGTTTGGTACATAAACTCCGCACAATACAGAGGTTGGATCTTCGACGACAATCTGGAGACGCCAAGATGGATATGGGTCCTGAGCGGTACACCCACGCTGAAGCCAGACATCTACCCACCTTATGACAGCCGCTGGAGACTAGCGGGGGCAAAGCGTATGGAGGACAAAGATGTGGGCTACATCCACAAACCGATGATAGACAAGGACACAGTACTGGATGACAAACAGCGTTTGCAAACCATGGCCGAACTGCATAAGCTGGGGCAATAAGCTGAAATGGCCTTTTTAAAGAATAAAAGAGCGAGGGAGGAGGCTGAGAAATCAGCGGAGGTGGGCAAGGGGAGAGAGGAAGAAGAAGAAGTGGAGGGCAACAAAACCTCGAGTCAAAGTGAGGGACTGCGCGGGGAGGGGACAGGAGAGACAAGGATCAGCAAGGCAAGAGAGGAGGGGGATTCACAGGGGGCATTCAAAAGGAAGATGAGTGACAGAGAAACTTCTACGGGGGGTATTGCGAGCCATGACACAGAAAGATCTCATACGGGCAAGAGGGAAGAGGAAGCTTCAGTGTCGCAAGGCCGAGTCCATGGATCAGGCACGAGAGAAGAGGGGCAAGGGGAGGCCAAGGCACAGAGTGAGGGGATGGACATAACTCCATCGGAGGCAGAGGATTCGTCATCTTCTTCTTCGGACCAACATACACGCCCAGGTTCACCATCAGCAGGTAACAGCCCATCAGGCAGAGCACGGATGGACAGCGGGGAAAACGTAATGGCAGATCCACCGAATGACTCAAAAGGAGATATGGATAGCGGGGAAGATGTTAGAATGTCACAGGACTCGGGAGAGGACTCAGGAGAAGACACAGGAGAAGACACAGAAGGGGAGGAATGGGAGGAGGAGGAGGAGGAGGAGGAGGAACCGGAGGAGGAACCGGAAACGCTAGCCCAGTGGATCAGAATGGTACACAAGCTGAAGTGGGAAAGACACGTCGAATGTGAAGTACGTCTGGCGCATCATAAGCATCTATGCAACCAGAAGCAGGCTACTTCAGCTGGGGATGATATTACCTCAACAAACAGATTTGAATGGTTGAGGAAAGAGCAGGAGGTCAATGAGTTTTACGCATCACAGTATGCTTGGAAGGCCCACCCAAACAGCAACGACATTTTGGTACACAACAGGAACTACGCCAAACAGTTTATATGGCCCAAAACGTACCAACCTCAGGGGTTGAAAAGGTCAGAGCAAAAAAGGAAAGCGCAGCAGGAATCAGAAAGCCCAGCTCAAGGGACGAAGGAGAAGGAGCAGATCGAGGAGGAGATGAGACAAGCAGCGATCCTGGAGGCACAAATCAACGTCCTCAAGGATCAAAACAGGGAATTGGAGGAGGATACCATCAATCTGCTAAAAATAGCCTACTCTCCACAGGGTGACATAAATGCAACAGCCAAGCTCTTCGCAAGGCACAATCCGGGGAGGAGAGTCAACATACCATACCGCTGGAACAGCGGCAACTCGGACTGGGAGGTGGCCATACACAAGACATTGGCTCTAATCTCTACAAAGGATAGTCACTGCTCGCAGGAAAGGCTCAAGGAACAGATCTCAGGAGATCTCCCGGACAGAGCTCAGGTGGTAGGGAGCCTTTCCCAAGATCGGGAGGAGTGGGAGGACACGGCAGGTGGTAAGCAA